CCCATTAACCGATTGCAACGTTGTTGCAATCGATAGTTAAGTGCTTTCCTAGGTGGCCGTCGTTCGGCTACCGACCACGCGGCGGTCGGTCATCTTGGATCCTTTGTTATCCCAGTGGTATTTGGTCGTCGAGCACCTGGAACTAAAATCGGCTACTCGACGGCACGAATACCGCTGGACTTCCAGGCCGTTCGGGAGCCCCGGGAGTTCAGTAGTTTGTTCCCCTAATGTCAATCGGTACTTTGAATGTAACTTGAATATAATGTGTTTCACGCGGCGTTCGGTTAGTTATGCTGGGATCTGAGCGGTATTCTCACGAACTGTGCACCCAGACCCCAGCTATCTACCGAACGTCCATTCATTTAAATAGAGTGAATAATGTGAAAGTTATAGATTTTAATGTGAAATATTGGTTCTGCTGCACGGAGGGATAATCCACTTAACTGTATATTCTAGTGGGAGTATCCCTCTCATCCAGCAGTGCATGATGGGAGAAATGTCCAGGTTGTTAAGTCCCCCATGTAGTCCCCTACTGTATAACCCCTGCAATATCAGTAGGGAAACCCCTTGCATGGGGACTTGCATAAATACTGTGACCTGTGATTAAAACCTCAGTTGACTCCCAGCCTATGTGTCGTCTAGTTCTTGGGAGGGAAGGATTCTTACAACGCTACCGGGATTATTGTATGCTGTATTTATTAACCTGGATTATTTTATGCTGTTCCTGTTGCCCAGCGGAGATACTGTGGATTATACTACCTCTCCGCTACATGTAGAAATGACAAAACAAATTATGTACAGTCATTATTTAACAAGAAGCAGTGATATTGGTTTGGAGTATTAATACGGGTGAGAACGTAGTGAAAGTTTACAAGGAGTCCCATGCCTTAGTTTGCCAACCTGCTTGTGTTGGGGTTTTTACCCGTGGTGGCTAAATGAGGCCTCGGGGCAAGACAGCTGTAATTTGTAATACTATACCTGATGTTTTAGGACAGGATACCGGGTTAGCCACTTCCTGGAGTTATAGGAGACGTTGAGGAGCCTAAAAACATGAGGTAACTAAGTACTGTAATAAGTCGTTAGATCATAAAAGTAAAAGTTGCATGGGTAGTAAGTGAAAACGTATGACCTAGTAGCAGAGAATTTGTACAAGTAAACAATAAAGCAACCTAATTTGTGTTACTTTAAGATTATCAGAATTCGGGGGATAAATATACATAATGTAGTGCTTTGAACGTTTGAATGAATGAACGGCAACATAGGCACAAAGCAACAAGACATTAGTACAAAAGGCTGGCGTTCGGCTAAATATTTATTATTATACATGAAAAACTGCAAGAATACATGGAGACTGCGTTCGGATGTTTAGCTGCACTTAGAAAATTTTAACGAACGTAAGTATAAAATATAGTGAGGTATTCGTTCATATGAACGAACAGTATGATCGTGAGACTCATCATTGCAAACAAGTTTACAGCGGTCGGTAGTTTAACCGTGTGCATTACTTAGGTGAACTTAAGTATGCCTGTCGACTGTGTAGCCATATGAACCACAGGAGTGCACGAAGGGGTAAGTATACGAATGGGTAAGTATACGAACAGGTAAATATACGAATTGCATCGTTAATAGTGAAAGGGAGCCTACGCCTACGTTTTTAGGCCTGAACGTGGGAAATAGCCGAACGCTACTTCCCACGTTTATGCTTACGTGTATGTGCCGGTCTTGTGACCGGAAGCCGAGTAGTGTAGCCAGGGAGAAGCCGGAAGGCAGGACTGGAGGTCGGAGGCAGAGGATACAGCAGTGACAAGACTCCTACTATCGTCGGTAGCTTTTTTCTGGCGGGAACTCAGACCAGAAGTGCTGGTTGCCAAGGTGAGTCAATCAACTTGCACGGCAAAGGTGAGTAGGGGCTAGGGGTTTAAGTAGGGGCCATAACTCCTCCCACAAATGCAGGCCTAATGGCCTTTTAACATATGTTATTTATATTGGGGTCATTGCCTTTTAAATTTGACTGAAGGATTCAGATGTGAGGGTGGGGTATGGGGCAATGACCCGTGTTTTTGTTGTTGTTATTATTTAATAAAAGCTGTGGACAATATGACCCATATACCCTAGTGTTCGTGTTTTATTGGGAAAGGTATGTGGGGGTGTAACGGATCACCTGGCACCCCGACTGGGTACCTCCGTTGAAGGATGCTCTTAGCGCTTTCTGAGGGCTCCAAGCACTCCAGCCGACACCATAACCACCGTAGACTCCTTCAGAGAGCAAGACTGGAACAAGCTCTTAAAAGAGCTTAGAAGTGATTATCCAAGGGAGAATGCAGAGCATAGCAATCCCTTGCAGTGATATAGCAATTCCCCCAATAAGAGACAAGACTCTAGATTGAGGGTGAAGAAGAACTGAACTTTTAATGAAACACTCTGCTTTTATATAGAGCAATGCCTATTACTTCAAAAAGGCTTTATTCAAACATAAACATTTCAGGGTTTGCCCTGATCAATGTACAACAGCATGAATCTATAGATTGAACAAGCAAACAGGATATAACGGACGCGCAGGTCCCATCGTAGAATGTGTGAACATCACTCGAACAATGTTACGTATTATACAGATATGGTATTTGATCATGGTCAACACGTTAGGGTAGTCATATGGGTGACCGGTTTTCAGCTCGAGTAGAGGAATACTCGTAGGTTTGTACTTTGTGTCTGCCTTTTGTGTTCCGTTAATATTTCCTTATCACCCCTGGGCCTCTTTCTCTTTGGGATGGTGAAGGCTATTGGTCCGGCATTATTGGTCAGTTGCCGTTCATGAGTGTGTCTTATTCGTGTTGTGTGATCTCATGATAGAGGTGTTTGCTTCCATTTTGATGTGTGAGTGTGAGTGAGTGACACAGCTGTTAGCAATCTCGGGTTGAGGATTGCTGCGTCTGTTATTCAATTAGTATAGAAACCATTGTCGGAGAATTTAGAGAGAAGATGAGTGAAAAATGAGTGAAAAGTAAGAGAAAGAGAGAGGGGGGATGGGGAGGAGGAAGCGGGTTGGAGGAAGGATGGGCAGGGAGGTGTGAAGGGGCGGGGGGTCCCATCGCCCATGCGCATGGTATTGCACGTATTGTACCAGATGTCAGTCCCCATCCGTGGGTGGGCGTGGGGCTCCCTGGGGCTGCGGACGGCTATTCCTATCTGTGCTTCGATCCGCTATGTAGAGTAGCCATGGGCACCACCTCTCCACATGCTTGTCCTCGAGGCCTATAAGTGTGGCCTGCATTGATTCCGCTCTATATATTTCTTCCACACGCTCCATCCATTGCCTTATCGTCGGGATATTCGTTTGTTTCCAGTATAGTGGAATCAGTGCCTTGGCCGCGTTAATTAGGTGTCTACAAATGTTTTTCCTATATGCCCCTATGGGGTCTGGTGTGGTGTGCAGGAGGACCGCCTCTGCGTTGAGGTTTCCTTCCGTCCCTAAGATTTCCCCTATTTTCTGTAGAACTTCGTCCCAGTATGGCTTAATGAGTGAGCAGTCCCACCATATGTGTAGTGGCGTACCCCGTTCATCCCCACATCTCCAGCATGTGTCAGGTATATTCGGGAATATCCTGTGTAGACTGTCAGGCGTTCTGTACCAGAATGAAAGGAGTTTATAGTTTGTTTCTTGGTATTGGGAGCTCGATGAGCATG